CTTCTGTGACATTGTACCCCCCTGGTCCTATCATGCCTACCGTCTGACACTCCACACTCAGCTGTAGAAAAACAAACATTAAATTAAAAGTTATCTATCTACAGGGCAGTCAAGGGTGGAAACAATGAAAAAGTACAATGCTGAAAACTGATAAAGTATGTGATGTATTTATTTATGAAAATGATTCCTTAAACAAAGTAAGAACTTGTGAGATTTTGAAATGGGTTGTTTACATGTAGTCAAGTATCAAGCATTGTTGTTTTAAAGTTTGACACATTACATTTTCTGGTAAAAAAGACAGGTGTTGTCAAAAAATGAAAAACTAAGAAATTCATAGCCATTACGCATCTCAATACAAAGTTAAAGGCTGTGATGCAAAGGCTTTCCATGATGATAAATGACCAACGTGGTAGAAATTTACTGACATTTTCAAAGAATTGATTACATCCCAAAGTACTGTACAAAGAAAATAATAAACATAAACCTCTATGTAAGTTTTACCTTTTCCGGAGTTCCTCCTGATCCAGTGTAAAGAATTGCAAAGGCGACACTTCCCTGTGGAGTGACCGGCCGAAACCAGAACTGTATTTGGTTCATCTGTTACATATACACAAACAGTAAACACACATAAACAAACTCTCCAAAAAATGTCTCAGAATGCCGAATCATTTAGTACTGTAAACAGGGAAATCTATGTCCCTGTTTTATTTTTGCCCTCTTCATGGTTGGGTAAATGCAAAATGGGGCAATTTCAAAGAACACAGCATAATTTCTTAAACAGAACTATGATGGGGGGAATTTGTAACAGGGCAAAATTGTTCACAAGTGCAAAAGAGCAAAAAATAGAATTCGCTGAAAATAGCCCTATATGCAGTATTTACTTACATCTACCAATAGAGCCCCTGGCTGTCCTAGGGGGTCCTGATTGATGGCTATCACCCCCTTGTGTTGTAGGAGGGCCTTGGAGTAAGGGTCAATATTCCTGAGGTCTGTGGACATGATCAGGGGGGCTGCCATGATGGCCCACAATGCCATCTGGGATTTCTGCTGTTCCTTACTCAAGCCAAAGTTTCCAACTATTATCTAGCAAAATGATAATATAATTTCAATGACTTTGTATATTTCTGTTTGTGAAGCTGTTTTATTAATGCTTTAAATGTCATTTTTTTTTAATATGCTCTTTTAAAATTTATACCAATTACCATACAAAAACACACAGATGCAATAAAATGACAGTGCAATTTCATGACTGCACTGATAGGTTCATGATATTGCATTTTGAAAAAAAATTAAAAATACACAACAGTATTTTGACATCTCTGGCAATTTATGTTCATCTTATATGAAGTTATCCCTCTAAAAATTTCAACAAAGAACATACCATATCAGGATCATTAAAATTTCCTGGACCTGCTACATCAGAAAAGTTTCCCTTATTTTTGCCATAGTATCCAATGATACTGGCCACGCTATCCCATGAGTCCTGGATATCATCAAAATTTCTCCAGATGTTACAGCTCTTAGCAATAGCTTTGTAATCAGGCTGCAAAAAAAGGACAGATGTCAGAAATTAAATCAAGTAAACAATTATTTTTTTTTAATTTATTTCTGAATTCTTTTATTTTTATTTGACCTTTATTATGTATAAAGAAGGAACTCCTTATAAATAAGCCCAAATATCAGTTCTCTATTTTAGATGGATCAAAAGTTACCTTGCATTTAACAATAGACTGCCATATCACATGCAGATGGCATAAATGTAGGCTTTCAAATGACTAATATGTGGGATTTTCCCTATCTTTTTTGTAAAATATGGCAAAAAATGAGTCACAAGTTATTTATTTCCTTACAAACATCATTGATTATTGACATAACAGTGATATAATTCCTTTTTTTTTAGTGTATTTAGTGTAAAAATTTTTGTGGTTCCTTGATTGCTTTACTTACAATTTTATCATTGGCTACAAAGTAAGCAGGCCAGCTGCAAGAGTAGAGAATAGGTCTGCCTGTTTTGTTGAGGAAAAACTCCATAATGGGATATCCTGAGAAAAATACATACAATGTATCAAAAAAAAAGTTTGAGAGTTAATTACTGGGTATCATCAGAAAATATGTGTGATTTTTATTTTGCATTAACCTGTACTTCATCTCATGTTTACTTACAATTCAGAAAGAAAAATACTATAGAAACTTGCTGTGTCTTGCAAAAAAACAACTCACCAGAAGTCATGTCTTCTACATTACTATAACAACCATCTAACTTCAGTAGATCTACACCCCAGTCAGCAAATGTCTGAGCATCAGATTCCATGAAGAACTTGCTGCCAGGGAATCCCCCACACGTTTCTGTCCCGAAGTCCTCATAGATCCCAAACTTCAGACCTTTACTGTGGATCTGGAAAAGTGTGATTTTTTTTTTATCAAACAAAGAAGTACCGTAGAAGTGGAAATTTTAGCAGGACACAAATTTAGCGACTTCTTTTTAAAAATTGGTAATTTAATTTAAGCGAGAAGTAATTTTAGCGATTTCATAATGCTAACTAAAGAAGCTATTACAAATGAAATGCAATTAATTTTAGCGATATTTAATTTTAGCGATCTCATGACCCTCGCTAATAATGCCAAAATTAAATCCTAGCTCGCTAAAAATTCTACTTATATGGTATTAATGAATGTCTGACTAGTAAGTTTAAAATAAAAATTTTTTTTAATATCAACTCACTACTAGAAATACAAAGTCTTTACTTTAGTTGGCATTAATTACAGGAAGAAATTTGATTTTCATTTTATTAATATTTGAAGTTGGTAATAAAAAAAAGTTCTACAAGTTTTATTGATGCTTTTCAATGTCATATTATGGAGTAATTTAATCAAATGTACATGTATCATATCGACAAATGTGTCATCAACTGTTCAAACTGGTGATATTTTGATATTATACATGTATTTACTCCTTTCAAATAAAATTTCTTTAAAAGAAGAACAAGACATGTCTAGTTTCCAGTAACCTCACAACAGAACCTGTACATGATAAAGCTTACATAGTCACCCAGAGCTTTCATGCCACTGGGGAACCTGTCAGGGTCTGCCTGCAGTCTTCCATCAGGTCCTCGTTTTTTGGCCATCCAGCAGTCATCTACATTTACGTACTCATATCCAACGTCTTTGTAGCCATCCTCTGCCATTCTGTCCGCAATCTGCATGTACAGTTTCTCTCTGAAATGAACAAGGTTACAAATCATTATCTTCTTGTGTAAATATGTAAGTTAAATCATGTGTTATACATATATTACAATGTAGTACTGGTTCAAAAATCAGTTACTGTCCAATAAAAAGGCACTGATGTGAATACAACATATCTAAAATATTCATGAAAATAAGTTCAAGTACAAAATACAATCTGCCAGTCATGGATTCTATGTTTCTGGGCAGTTTCATACATTGCTTAAAGGTTACAATACATGAAACAAATATCAAGTTAATTTTAATAAATACAAAATCCATACTATTAAGATTACCCACCCAATGCAATTTTCTGGATCATTGAGACAATCAGTGTTGCATCTAAAACGTTCCCATGAGTTCCAGCCCATAGGGGGAGTGCGGGCCAATCCATTATCCAGTGTGTAGATACTGGAGAGCCCAGCCAGGAATAACAACAGTGTCTTCATTCTGAGAGAATTAAAGCTTAAATGTATCAAATGCAGCAATGGATTCTGGTACAATCAATACTTTCAGAACTTTAAATTTACATTGCAGATATCAATCAATAATGAATATTCAAAACTATTACATTCTAAAGAAATATGAATCAATTGTTTGAAGACACAAGTGAATGTATCTTGAACATGCTAAATTCATGTTTCATCTGCTATTCAGATAGTGAACACTAGGGCTGTCACTGTTCCAAAATTTTTCGGGTCGGGTCGGTTCTGATTTTTTTAGGTTCGGTTTCAGGTTTCTCGGGTCGGGTAGGTAATGGAAGAAAAGCTCATGATTTGTATTATTTTCAACAATAAAAAGAATATTTTCATTTAATCCTAGAAATTGCAGCATTATAACCAGTTTAAAGTAGCCTCCTGACTAGACAACAATTGTACCAAATTATTTAAATCACCTTATAATGACAATTTACTAACCAATCTCCCGAACCGAATTCCGGAAAAATGGAACCATACCCAACCCGAATTAATTGTTCCGCGGTTCCGGGTCATTTCGGGTACCAGTGACAGCCCTAGTGAACATATTCTTTCCTTCAAAGAACATTACCTTTTGACATATCATTAGCTGCATGACAATGAGCAATTATTCTATGCAACTGAATTTCATGTTCTGACAACATACATGTAAGTCACTGACAACCAATATAATAATGCATTTTTACAAATCCCAATTGGTATTGAATTTATAACTGGAACGGAAAATGATGATATGGACCAGACCAAGATTTGAACCAGGTTCCTCTAAATTTCAAGTAGAGTATGCATTCCATCAGGCTATCTGGCCACAAGTGATAGAACATATCTGGCCACAACACTCCTCCCCTCCTTAAAGGTCTTTGCCCTGAAAACAACAACCCAGGCTCTTTCCTGGAAGGTCAATTTTCTTCTTTCCTATCACATTTGGTGCCCTGGAAATGACAGGTGAAAGCCTCGTCAAAGGTTACATGGTGTCTTCAAGGGGGGATACCTTAAAGGGGGAGGAATGTGGGGATCAGATGGGTTTGATCGATGGTAACCAGATAGCTCAGTTGATACAGCACATGACTGGAGATTTAGGAAGCCTGCATTGCCCTGGGTTTGAAACCCAGTCTGGTCTGTTGCAGATTTTTCCGTTCCTGTTTTTCTGTTGCAAATTATTGAACACATCACAAAAGGCATCATATTAAATACAGAGGTAAATACACTTAATAGTGCTCCAAGACAATATAAGTCTTTGTTGTTAGCCCCTCCCCCACCTGATCCACCCTTCCCAAGTGCAGTCAACCCCCATAGATGCTAGTATAGATAAAACATGTTCAACAATTAAGTCAGCATACCTTAATTAATTAACTGCTAAAATGAAGTAGATTATTACTACACATAGTGACATACCTTGTATCAGTATCTGCCTACTTTCGTCTTCGATTTACGGTTTCACGTGAGATGAGGAATGGTCATGTGATTTACCATGTGATTGAGATTACCATTATTATCCTCTTAAATGATGGGCCATCAACCTTAATAAATATTTACTTTGTACAAGCGTGATATTCTTCCCTATTTATTTGTTGTACAATAATGAGTAAACGGTAAGCATGCGCACGGAAATAAAAAGGAGAAAAATAGTCGGGCACGGTGTACACGATAATTCACACTCCAAGACGCGCCAAAACATGTTTGAAACATCAATAACTTGAACAGGACTGTCAGGAGTGTGATTTCTAGACGTGAGTACAACAAATAGCAACAACTGTTGCGTAAAAAACAAAGGTTTTTGAATTATATTTTTTATCTGCACATGGTCAGATGGTGAAATAGATTTAGAACCTAATTCTCTCCATTTTGCAGAGCTTTAGTTTAATTCTTTTCCTCCGTAGACTGAGGGTGCACCCCACACACCATCTCACCCCTCACTCCTGCCATGAAATATGAATGTGCCATATTATTTACTATGGTGTGTAATGAAATGGCTTGTTGATCAATGCGTGTATGCATTTAATACTTGTATAATGACTAGGTTTTTTGCCTCACTCCAGATTGTCACTTCACCCCCTCCCCTTCCATTTTTACGTGAACATGATGAAACAAAAAAAAATCTTTACTTTTTCTATTTGTTTTATATTGTATTTACAGAACATGGCAACTGGTGATCTGACAAACAATATCAGAAAACTTCAGAAAGAACTGAAGATTATGAAGTACCAGGAAAGTTTGGATTTGAATGGGTATGTTATATTAATTCATGGTGATGATGATCAGGTACATTATCAGATAGTAGACAAGTTGTGTAGTTAAAAAATGTGTTAAAATTTATTTTATGGCATAAAACACTTAGTATTAAATTTGTTCAACTGTTTGACTGTCAGTGAGAAGCCATTAAAGTAAAACAAAAATAAAATGATTGTGTATATCAAACTATAGTAAAACTTAGTTATAACAAATTTGCTATATCCGTGAATTCGCAATATCCGTGTTCGTACTAAACGAGTTTTACTGTACCATTTATTTGGTGTGTATATATTTAAGCTCAACTTTGAAGGATATATTTAATGTGGTTTAAAATCTTACTACTATGGTACATGTAGATTTTCCATTTAGACTTGCACAGGGTAAGGCCTCAGCCCTTCTTCCCATCTACCACTATGCGTTTACCACATACAGCTGTTCCATAGCGGAACTGATTGCCAGCACAGACACTGAGTTGTATACCAAGACAGATCTACGATTCATGGAGGGATGCTACAAGGTGAGACAGCTGCATGAAATTGATACTGAGGTCAATAAGTCTTCTTTCCTCTCTTTGTACTACCTTATTTGCTTTCCTTATGTAGATATGGTAAATATGGCATTACTCATCTATGATTTGCGTATTTACAGATTTTGAGGGACTTGTTTCATTATAAACCTCCTGTGACAAAGGAACAGTTTTTCAACAATGGTTTCGTTGAAAGAAAAATTATTATGTGCACAGAAGTGATGAAACTGATTCAACAAAAGAACAAGTCTTTACAGCCCCAGAAAAAGGCCCCCACAACAACGACTAGTAACCTTGGACAGGTAGTCTCCATGAAAGTGAGTATAGCGAAAAGATGCCTCAGTTGACTTTGATATCTCATACACCAATATCTCCAATACAATGTATATGTCAAGATAATTTGGAAGTCCAAACCACTGATTAAGTATTTCATGAGGGCCATTTAAAGAATAGGTGGTATTCACATGTAAAACAGTGTATTTCGCAGATATCATTTTGTGATGCAATGTTGTAAGGTTAATGTTTGATCAATTTTTAAAGCCCAGCAGGACCAAAGTGACTGACCTGACCCAAGTAAGACCTAACAGCTCTAGGAGATCCAGGTCATCCTTAGATACCATTAGTTCACAGAGGGAAGGACTATCAGACCCCAAGAATGTAGGTGTATCACCTCGCTCACTAACAGATGTTGATCACCATCAGGTAAATCAAGCTCATGAAATTTAGTTTTTATTCTCTCTCTTTGTTATCATTGATTTCTCTCTCCGATAATTTAAATATACAAAGATATTAAACTTAAGGCATTTTTCAATTCAGAAACAATTTTTTTATTTTAAACATAAATTCATCCAGCAGGTTGTCAATGAACTGCTTTTTAACCAGCTGGTTTTTCCAAGGCATAAGCTCACCATGTGCAAAGAAGTGATGAAACTGATTCCAACAAAAGATGCTGACACATCTTCTTCATCAGAATCTTCAGAAAAAGGCCCCCACACAACGAGGTAACCTCCAGGTTCATGTAGAAGGTGACCTATAACCAAATATACACAGTTTAACTTTGTGCTGCACATCTCCTGGTACCATGGATGTATCAAGGAATTTTATAGTTCAAATGTCACCCTGCATTTTTTATAAGGATCATCCATTCCATTTTCAAGTGGTATGTTTTTAATACTTTTGTAAGGATAGTTGCTGTCTATCAAAAAATCATCGCTTATTTTGTGCATTCAGATGCAATACTGAGCATAATTTAATGTTGATCTTAAATTTTAAATGCAAAAGGCCAAAGTGACTGACCAGACCCAAGTAAGATCTAGCTGTCTGTCCATCCTATTTCATCCCTAGATACCTAGTTCACAAAAATACAGGGACTGCCTGAAGACAAATAAAAAATTGTATCTCCTCGCTCTCTAACAGATTTTGATTGTAAATCAGGCATATAACTTTTAGTAATTTTGTAAGCTTATTTGTTTTCACTTGAGTACTTTAAATATTTCAAGAAAGATAACAGAGACATTAAATATTATGGCATATTTTAATTCAGAAACAGTTTTTGATATTTAAACATAAATTCATCAATAGCAGGTTGTCAATGAATAGCTCCAACCAGCTGACTGAACATTCCAAAGCATACAAAACCCTTAATATGATACTCAATATGTATCAAATAACAGATTAAATAAACAACCACTCACCAACAAAAATAGCGATACACTCTTGATTACAAATTTATGAAAAAGTCATCACACAGAGGTCACCTCCAGTCCATGTAGCCAGTGTGACTCTCCCTGCCACATCAGGTGCTGCCATCTGCTGGTAGAAATGTTAGAGGATTTAATTGGGCAGTTGTTACCCCTAGCATTGCAAAAACCAGATCGTCCATTCCATTTTCAGACGTATGTTTTATTTTACAAAAACTGTTTATAGTCATTATCAAAAAATCATTCATAAATGCAGGGTATAATCTGATAATTGTCAATGAGCATATTGAAGTTGGTCTTACTGATTTTAAATCAAAAGGCCTCTTTCTGTGGGTGACCCTATAAAGATCTAGCAGTTGTCCATCCTATTTCAGTTGTACAAACCATGTGCACCAAAAATACTGGGCCAATTTGAACACAAATGAAAAAAACGGTTCAATTGTTTTGGCTAGATATGTGTAGATTGGCACTAACTTTATAAAATTTTTTTTATAAAAACATGCATGCATTGTAGTATTGTAAGCTAGGGCAAAAAATTGTTTTAAAGTTAACACAGTAATGATATTGAAATTTTAATATCACACGGGCACCTGACGTGTAGAGCTGATGTTTATCTTATTTTATTTAAATAAGTTTAAAAAAATATTTGCTGGTAGTTTTTGATGCATATTAAAACTAAATAAGAAATAATTTAATGTAAGACATAATAGCTACAGGTCACATTCCATCTGGAATCATAATGTCAAACGCATACGAAATGCATAAGAAATCACAACAGCAATCCACAGCAGCCTTGCATAGTCTATGCCAACGAAAGTAAAACTTAAATAAAGATTCTATTATAAAAAAGTGTTATGCAGTTTATTACTATACGTTCGAATAGAATGAAACGGGCACCTAGTCTACTTATGAAAATAGCTAATATATACATCCCTAGCAATTACCCACTGTCTTTAATTGTTTCAGATATCCCAGGTCACACTCAGTTTTGTTTGGAGGAGGATGAGGAAGAGGAAGAAGAAGAGGAGGAGGAAGGCATAGAGACAGTGATGGCTGCCACACCAGCACACTCCATCATGGAGCCTCATAATGGAGAAACGATCGAAATCACAGAGAGAAATCACAACAGCAATCCACAGCAGCCTCAAGCTGGCCAGGCCAGCCAGCAAACGTTAAATGAAACTCATATACTCAAGGTTATTCAGCTTATTACTTACATCATAGAATGAAACTCATCTACAAACTTATGATTATAGCTAATATATACCTGTTCCATAATGAATATATATTAAATTTTGATTGGTTATGTACTGATAGACTTGCAAATAGGCATTTATACTTGAATTTAAAAATTTGTTAAAATCGAAATAATCCTTCAAAAAAAAACAAAAAAACAACAACACATCTCTCTCTATGTATTCCTAATGGTGTGTTATAAACTTGTTTTCAGGCTATAGAACAGCTGACTAAATGTTTTGGAACTTTGGAGTCAGGATTAACCAGGTCTATTGAATCTCTGAATGCACGCATGATTCTTGTGGAAAACAGGGTTTCTATGATGGAAAGCAAGGTAGGATTTGGCAGAAATTCAAAAAAAATTATAAGAGGAAAAATGTATGATAGAAAATATTTTTCATTTCAAAAGTGAAAGAAGAGATGATGAATACTCGAGAAATACAATAACTTCTCATTTAACATATAGAAAGAAATTGTTTTATGAAGGTTTTCATTTAAATTAAAAGCATTGTTTGAAAATATGCTTGTAGATTGAGGCAGTCGTAGCTGGTTCTCAAAGAAAAGAGGAGCAAACACTACCACAGCCTACAAATCACAATGGAGTACCTCAGAGATCTGCTGTATCTGGTGGTGTTACTAATCTTCAGGGTCAAGGACAGCAGAACTACAATATGGCAGAAACTACCAGACATCCTAGCAGTTCTACTATAAAGAGCAAAGCAGGTACAGGAAATTTTGGTAATCATACAGTGAAGTTATTTACTGATAGAAAGTTGAAAATTTATGATGAATTGGTGTTTTTTATCAGCTGTATAATTGAATATTGAATTTAAAGATGTATTCAGTAAAACACGCTTATAAAAAACTACCAGGGACAGACGATTTTGCCTCGTTGATAAACCTAATTTGTTATTTCTGTTTAAGTTCTTATTATATTTTAAAGCCATGGTAAATGAATATTATCTTGCTATCAGCAACAATTTCAATATAAACAAGTTCTTTATAACTATTTTACTGTACACTTTAGAAATGAGCAATAATTGTTTACAATATTCATGTTATTTTTTTTTTACTTTATAAAGTGAGCACTATACATTAGAACTAAATGTACCCACCTACATATTACATACATATTTATAATAGAAAGTCAAATGACAAGAATAGCCAAAATATATATCACAAATTATTATGCTTCCTGTCAGTCTGTCTCTGTATAACCCATACCCTACTATTCTCGCATAGTGGTCTAAGGATTTATATAGCGTAAACATACTATGCCGAAATAGTGCACGGCTTTATTTACTGTATAAAATTCTTTTACGCACATGCCGGGGATCGAACTCATGACCATGAGATTATCAGTCCGATGCCTTATCAATTACGCCATAGAGACGATCACTAATTTGTACAATTTTATTAAATATATAAACTTAATTTATACAAATGACACAAGAAGGAGAAAATAGACAAATATTATTTGAAAATAGTTATATTATTCTAAAGGAACTTTAGATTAATGTGTACAACAAACTTTCAAACTAATTACATACAGATCGTTAGATGAACTGATTTTATAGGGTCATTAAAACGCTTTTTTATATGACGCTTGATTGAAGGATGTTAAAGAAAATTATCAATGAGAATCGACGTCTGCAAACAAATAAGGCTTACTAACAAAACAGAAAATAAAGATGAGTTGCTTTGGGACAGAAAATCCCGACTTATTTAGAGAAAATACTAGTAACCAAAATAACTAAGCATGCAAACAATTTTAGCATGAATACTTTGAATGAGTTCTTGCAAGTGCCCTGTGTAAGCACCGATATTTTCAGGAAAAAGTCAAATAGATTGCTGCATAAATAATTACAACAGTCAGCATAATAATAACAATAGTGTTGCATTATGCATGTACTATAATGCCTCCGGCTCGTGCACCATGTGTCAAACCCTGCCTACTATTTAGGCATAGTACATGCATAATGCAACACTATTATATAAATATGTGGCAATATTGACTTTAAAAAAGATGTTAAACATGTAATGGAAGTGCAGTGATTTGCTCAACTGGAAAAAAAAATGACAGTTACAATTCTCTTTTGTCACACATTTGTAGGAGGATTTGGCAAACTAAAATCTTTGATACATAAAACTTGTGAGAAGTTAACAGGTGAAATCTAAATAAACAGTATTTGTAAAAAATTTTGAAAAAAAAACCAATTCCTTTAGTTATGTACTATAGTTCAAGCATGGTGGTGTCAATTTCTGTATTGAAGATAATCCAATAACAGTGTCAGGACAGGAAAGAAACAGTACAGAGCCTCAGCAGATAACCACAAATCAGACAACAGAGAAATCCCCCAAGTACAAAGCTCCTCCGTATCAGTCCGCCCTGTATGACGATTCCACTCTGGTCATGTTTTCCCCGATTCGTCATGTGGCAGGTACCCCTCATCAACATAGGACTCCGGAGACCACATTCTGTTCCACTAATAACGACACATCCGACCCACGGCGATCCAGTACCCCAGAACACAACACAGTGGAGATGGACACACAGATTGTGCTAGGGGAATCCATGAACCTCCCCACTGGGGATACAGATACCCAGAGTCAAGTGAACAGAATTAAAAATCTGTAAGTTTGTATTGTACTTACATTCAAAGAGTGGGGCATATTGCTTTGCAGCTTTAGATTGGGTGGTACTTATATACAGTAGGTATGTCTGACAGGTTGTAGACCAATGTTTCATGACCACTGATAGTCATTTAACTATCTGATTTACTTACATTTAATTATTTCCTAAATCTTGATAATGTATACACAAAAAAAGAAGTGTGTATGTTGTTTAAAGTATTCACCAAACCTAACGATTGTTAGATACATGTAAAATTTATCTTCAAAAGGAGTGAAACCTGATAGATACCGGTATGTACTCGGACAATGTGATGCAAGGACTTGACATTCATTTCCACTTTCCTGAAAGACCTGTAGAAAATTTTATAAAAATAATATAAAGTACTGCTAAAATTACTCCCTCTCCGGTCCTCTGGTAACTGTATGGTAGAAATATTGGGTGTTTAAAATAGATATGGTCATATTAACCAAAGTTCTAATCATCGTCTGGAATTTTTCTCTGTTTCCATGCAACAATTGAATATTTTGTTTCTTATTTTGCAGATTTAAATCAACAGAAGTTATGCTGAAAAACTGAAAGAATGAGGACGAAAAATGACAATCTGTGCAGACTAAGATTAGAGAGAAGAGTATTAGATGAATAATTTAAATGTATTGGTAGTACAGTGTAATGTACTTGATTGATGATTGCGAGCATTAACAACTACCTCATGTGTCATATTAACCAAGTGCTAATTATAAATTATGTCATATTTAGAATACACTGTTATTTGTTGTTAATAAATTGATGTAAGCATTCAGAACTTTCTTATTTAATAATGAAGATCCAAGAGAAGTTTGAGTTTGGAGATCATTTCAAGTTTCTTAATTTTGCAAGTTTAAACGTTCAGATCTAAAGAAGATTTTTAAAAAAAATTAATAGGTTCAGAGCTGGAAAATGAACATGGATAATTTAATATATTTATGGCGTCATGAGGATGGTAAACACTAGAATCCTAAGTATATGCGAGACATTACAATGAAAATGCAAGGGAACTTCTAAGGGAGCTGTATCATTTAAAGCCATTGAGTGGTTCTTTAGCATGCTAATGTCTACAATCCCATGGTCCTCAGTTTAAGGTCTCATCCAAACCAGCAATGCATGTTCACTTACATTGCTGCCTCTTTGAGTGTTGTTTTCTTCCACTTGAACAAATGTAATAATTAATCGAAGATAAGACCTACAAACAGAGGTCCCGTGTCACAGTAGGAGCTGACAGGAAAATGATCCCTCACAGCTCAATGGCCCTAAGTGCCGAGTATAGGACAAAGTTTGTAGCTCTCCATCGGCAAGTTGTGCTGTCTCCATATGAGTGAAAAATTCTCAAAGAGGGATGTTAAACAACATAAAATCAATCCACATATCATGCATTCATAATAATACATCAAACTTAGATTCAAAATTTTACAATTTGAATGAATAAAGCCTTTTCTGAAAGAGGATATTATTAAAGATAATCCTACAACCTCCTTAACTTTGACTGAATTTAATATGCAGACTTTCTCTGGTTCAATGATCTACTGTAGTACTACTACTACTACTACCTATAGTATCAATGTTCATTTTAACCCAGCTGTCCAGCAGCATATGGTATCTTTGCATTATATATCAATTCACTGATATAATATGCTACTCAACTTTTGAATATGTCATTAAACAAGAGTCATTGAAAGGAAGACAGAATAAGAATATTAGATCAAACAGAGTTGAACCCCTTTATTGATTGTCGGTAAGATGATGAAATTATATATATTATACTGTAAACGTGGTTATATTGACGAGTTGAAAAATTGACGATTTTTTGTTTACGAAAATTGACGAGTGTTAATTTTGACGAAATATTATTCAAGAGTTATGTATCTTTAAATTAACGGGGATAGAAAGGCAGAGTCGGAATCACTAAATTTCATTTTTGTACAGACCATCTACAGTGTGTAAGATTGTACAAAATTCTAAGTTTGTAGGATTTGATTAAATAAATTGCCTCCTTGTTATTTGTTTTCATTACAAGCGGTCAATTGCCTGAGGTGACAATCTAGGTCAAGCACGGCGTGATAATTACGCTAATTTATGCATGCAGTATTTGATACACTAGTTTAGATTCAAGGGTTTTAAAAAAATGTGATTATATATCGCTGTGCTTTCATAACTAATTACAAAAGAAAATAACAGTAACTTTGATTTAGTCTTAATTGGGGAAACCCGAGAAAATTAAGCGGTAAAGTTGTACAAATTGGTCAATGTCTGTTGTGACGCTCTATATATGATGTGAAGTTTGACGAGTGTAAATTTTGACGAGAAAAGAAAAATCGTCAATATAGTCAAAATTAGCACATCGTCGAAATTTCCACGTTTACAGTATTAAGAAACAGTTCTGACATTAATACTGCTTTTGGCATTTTAAAAGTTCTAAAATTACCTTATCTTCAAATAACATGTACATCGTTTCCCTGAGTTTCCATTTGAGACCTGATTAATTTCTATATACATGTATCACAGTTTACTGGTACATTGCTCAAGATTAAATTGATAAACTACATTTTACAAAGCTTTTCTTAGTTTTCCACTAGATATCTGATTAAGTTCTATAAGTCGTTGTAACTCAGGTGGAGGTGCTGGTGAAGTTAAATTGACGTCCATTTTATTCAGGACTGTGTCTGGACTGGCTCCTTTCACAACCATTTTGACAAGTGCAATGGCTGACACAAAGTTAGTTTTTGTTTCTATGATTTGATGCTCTAGGTAAAATGCTTTTGAATCCCAGTGGAGTATCTGAAGGAAAAGAGAAATGTTTGTGGTCTATATTAATGGCTCAAAAATTGAAGGTAATGAGAACTGCAGTCTTGTTACAAATACATGTAAATTGTGTATTTGGATAATTTTATACATGAAGAAATATAAGTAAGGTATGAAAAACACATCTCACTTTTGATTTTATGAAGAAAAAGTCCATGAAGTTTAGAGATTTTCTGTATCTTATGGTACTTCCACCATTAATGATTGAAGCATTGCTTTTCCAAAGGCCGCTAAAAATGCCCTTTTCCAGGAAAAATTTCAGCCTGGCAAAATCGCATTCACGGAGATAGCGTGAATTGTTCATGTGCCAATTTGCATCTAGATCACTTGTCCAACACACTCCCTAACTGACAGTTAGAATACTATGATTAGAACATGTGGAATGCAAAAATTTATAAAGGTTCAATACGTTTCAAGGCGCCTAGATTCCATAGTATCAAATGCGTCCACATTCTTTTACGTTACTTATTATGAAATATGTACATATGTAATTAATCATTTTATTGTTATTATTTTTTAATATTAGAAATGATGTGTGAAGAAGATATTTTTTCTTCATGACTACAGTAGCCGCCTTTATCAGAGATGTTTATCTGGTTATGGTACGTTACCATTTATTATGCTTTCATCCAAAATCGGCATTCGCTTAAATTTTCCCTTCCATGTGTACAGAATAAAGGAAATTAAATGGGCAACATCAAACAAAGCAAATGCTTTACATCATTTCCTGGTTGAACAAGATGAAGCAGAGTGGCTGAATTGAGGTATGTAAATATTTTCATTTTAAAGTAAAAATATTAATGTTTGAAATAAATGATGGAATGTGGGAATATTACAAAAATTCTAGAAATACCAGGGGAGATTGTAGGAGTGGGGATTGATATTTTTGGCAGGGTGTCATTTACTGCCGATCTCTGTAAGTTCTAAATAACTGCAAATTTGACCTATAAACGCCGCGGAACGGTATATTTTTTTTCGTGTTTTTAATAAGTGCTTAGAACGAACTTTCAAATAATACCAGTTTTGTATGAACGGGAATTAGTAAATTACTTGGAGGGCAAAAGGTTTGTATAGAGTTCTATGGGAAATTAATTGGTACTCTTTTCCCTATAGAGACCCCATTTTTTAATAAGTAAAGTGAAGTGAAAGTCATGAAAAGTTATTTTTAGCAATTTATTTGAATATTGAAGACATTTCGAGAGAAAAATTAGCAAAAATTTGAATTATTTATCTGTGGAATTAGGGTTAGAGGTGATTTTGGGTCTTTTGTAGAGATTGGGGGAGGGGGGGGGGTTACAGAGGATGGAAATTGGTAAAACAATGTGTAGTTGACTTGGCCATAGGAGAAAGGTAAGTTAATAAAATGTAACATTTATGTATTCATAAATTTATGTATGTATTTTACATGTACATGTAATTGTGTATTTATATGATTTGCTATATATGTGTACTTTTGGAAGTGTAGGATGGTGGCCTGGTGTTAATTTTTGTTTAGTTTCTTATACGTCTGCACGTTTGGTATCTTTTCGAATAATTTATTTGGCCCTTAAAAGTGCGTTTCGTGGTGTTCATGTGAAAGGAGGTCATTTTCTGTCTTGACGTATCATGTCGGTAGTGTATGTGATCCTGTGGATTGCCTCCCTTTGACTGCGGGGGGATCAGTTTGTAGTTTGGTTGTTTCTATATTGTAGCTACACAAAGGTATGTGTTTTCCCTCTTTTTGCTCTTTGTAGTTCCATCAGGGTGACTCTCTGCAACTCATTTTCTACTGCTTTCCAGTTTTTGTACTTAGAGTTACTTCCCTTAGACTAGCTAACCAAATATGTAGAATTTCAACATGATATAATCTTAATTATTGTGACCTTAGGCTTCTGATTTTGTTTCTTGAATTATTGGAATGGCATTACTGCATGTATCACATTTGACTTTTCTAATATTTACATGTAATTACATGTAAAATTGTAAAACATGTATTCCACCCTTGACGGATCCATTTTTTAAACATTCGGCCATGTAGAAGATATGTAATTTGGTAATTTTTCAGAAAACTTGAAAAATATTGCTGTTTTCTTTATGATTTATGCTTAATTTGACTAACTTTATTGATTTATTTTCATTTAAAGACTATAGAGGACTTTCATATTTCAGCTTCCTGGCCCCGGGAGAGCTTGGTATCTGATCGGCGGGGGGCATTTTCTTTATATAAGAAGAAGATGGAGACTCGCTACCCACCCGATATATTTTGTCGGACAGATTTCTGTACATTGCAGGTAAAATTTTCATTTATTAACTTTTCAGCCTCTTATTGTGGTGTACATTTTGGGGTTTTAAGTCAATTGTTGCATTTTTTGATTTTTTTTACAAATTAATCTGAATTCCCCTTTTTAAAGCATGAAATTCAATAATGTAGATTATGGTTGTACTGTATAAGACTATCAGACACTGCACTTTGATTTGTTATCAAAAGTATTAATTTTCTCTTGTCTGAATTAATTGTAACCAAATATACTCGGGGGCACCTGCTATTTCTCCACGTGTCTTACACTGGGGGGTGGGGAAACTTTTTTGTATATACTTAAGCAACAGGAGGGGTTAGATAAGAATCATTTAGTATATCAGAGTCTCAAACAATTTACTTTTCATAAGCATAAGAAAATTTCTATATCAGTCTTTTTAAAACCTTTTAATTTTGCTTAATTAAGTATGATTTATCAAATTTTGGACCTTTTTTCTTTATTCTGGGTAGATTCCACCCCTATGAAAAAATTGACACAATTTTGACTTTATATCATTTTATTAACATCAAAAAACAAAATCATGTTATTTTATAAATATTTTATTCATTACAGTGACAACTGTATCCAGATTTCATCACAGGAATGAAAGTTTTTCACTCTTTGGAAAAGCACCTGCAGCAGGGAGG